CATACAGAAACTACATCGTTTACATGCCTTTTAAAAGCTTCTGCATTAAAAAACTCCAACAAATTAAGGCAATAAAATTATAACAATATATTATATGAGTGCTTGAGAGATATTTTTTTGTCTAAATGCAGAGCAACGCGCCGAAGCTCTGACGCTCGCGCGCAGTCCGTGCTTGCTCGGAACTTGAACTGATCCGAATAGGCTTCTACATTAAAACACTCCAGCGAATCAACACAATAAAATTAGAAGAAAATATTATAGAGGTAAAATGACTGCTTATGAGTGCTTGTGAGATCTTTTTTGTCTAAATGCAGAGCAACGCGCGGCAGCTCTGACGCTCGCACGCAGTCCGTGATTGCTCAGAGGAAAGATCATTTGAACGTCATTAAGGGCCTTTAAAAATAAAATATGCCAGCGTTTGCATATAATTCACTCATATGAACACAACAACAGCTAATTTCAGGTGTTTGTGAGCTGTTTTAGTGTGAAACTGAAAGCCTTGCGTCCGGAGCTTGCGAGACCGCAGCGTCCTCATTAAACTGATATTTTTGCACGTCTTGACGCCTCGCGAATGCAAACACTGCAGCGAATTTATAGAATATAATTATGAGAACATATTGACAGCTAAGTTGAGTGCATTTGAGCTTTATTTATGTTGCCTCGCGTCGCGTCGATTAATGAACACTGAACGGAAAAAAGGCTACATACAGAAACTACATCGTTTACATGCCTTTTAAAAGCTTCTGCATTAAAAAACTCCAACAAATTAAGGCAATAAAATTATAACAATATATTATATGAGTGCTTGAGAGATATTTTTTTGTCTAAATGCAGAGCAACGCGCCGAAGCTCTGACGCTCGCGCGCAGTCCGTGCTTGCTCGGAACTTGAACTGATCCGACGAGTGTTCAAATCTCTGAACTGAATCATTTGATTCACGAACGTGGTTCAATTGGGTCGTTTGATTCACGAAACTTGTTCAAATGAATCATTTGGTTCATGAGATTCATCCTTTCAACTTGAACTGATCCGACGAGTGTTCGAATCTCTGAACTGAATCAATTGATTCACGAACTTGGTTCAATTGGGTCGTTTGATTCACGAAACTTGTTCAAATGAATCATATGGTTCATGAGATTCATCCTTTCAACTTGAACTGATCCGACGAGTGTTCGAATCTCTGAACTGAATCAATTGATTCACGAACTTGGTTCAATTGGGTCGTTTGATTCACGAAACTTGTTCAAATGAATCAT